GTACAAAAATTTAAGAAAAAACATCAACCTATATTGATTATACAGTTACCCCCATATAACATGATAGTAGGTTCTGAAAAAGTGCTGTGTTATGCAAATCTGTGCTATATGAAACAAAGGACTAATAAAAAACATAGGGTTAGGTTCCAAAAGTTAGCAAAAATATACTATTATTTTCGTAATTAAGAAAAATATGTTTCTTAAAGCAATCAATAATTAACTACCCATCACAATCAAGAGTACTGCATGTTAATATTAATTTTTTCTCACTGCTGAACACAGTGGCATGTAGTTACATTTGATGATAGGGAAGCTGCGCCTGCCCTGGATGGAATCATTGGAAGCATTATACAATATTTTGGTGTGTAGCATCCACCAGCTAAACCACGTGAAGTTGGTGCTCTGTAAAGCACATGTGCAAACACTTGTAATCTGGCTGCTTTACACCATTCAAATATTTTTGCCATGGAAGCTGACCCATATTCAACAATACAGCACTTCCATTGGGAATATGCATATACGAATTTACTGTATATTCGAATATACAATAGTAATCTGATTATTGTTTTTCACATGTATAGAAATTTGTAATAAGATACATAATGTGGTTATAATAAAATATTAATTTTAATTAATTCAAAGTACATTAAAATATGAAAATAATCACACAATATGTATTCATATTTTAGAAATACAAAAGAAGCAGTGCTTCCACAGCTTCCATGGACAGCATGCCACTGGCTGAACACCATTAAACAATGTTTTCTTTTTAGCAAAATATTATTATCATGAGCTTTTCTGTTGACATTAATCTCAATTATCGACAACTTCTTGATTTTTCTCTATGTTTTTGTTGTAAAAAATGCAGGGTGTGGCAGCAGAATAAAGTAAAAAGCAAACTGCTTGGTTTGAACACAGAGTTTAATGTAAGCTGTAAATACTACACATCAAAACAAAGGGAGACAAGGCAGAAGGTACAAGAATCTAGTTACATAAACAAAAGTCTAGACGTCATCTGGAATTTTCTTAGGAGAGTGTCATGATACTCTAAACCAACACTTCCCCTCATTCCAGTGGATGCTTACTAGATTATAATAGACCAAGGTGTAATAATAAATGCGATCTTGATACGATGACTTATAAGATCGACTTCATATTTAAAAGTCAGTCCATTAGCATGTTTCAAGTATTGTAAACCTTTTGTTAAGAGATCGGCAGGCATCTTATCTGTTGGAATAAATGCAATGTCTATTCTTCCTCGTTCAACACATTCATGCACAAAATGATGTCTTATGTCTATGTGCTTACTTCGCGAGCGAAACATCGGATTTCGAGCAAGTAATTGTGCTTCTTGGTTATCGCAATAAATTGTTAATTTGGATTTATTGCTTCTTAAGAGGTCATCAAAAAGTTCTAGGAGGTGTAGAGCTTCTTTAGTAGGGTCTGATAATGCCATATATTTGGCCTCGGTGCTCAATAGGGCAACCATGTGTTGTTTTCTTGATTCCCATGAGATTGGTCCACCAGCGAGCTTAAAAATGTATCCTGAGAAGGAATGACGATTGTCTATTGATGCTCCCCACTCAGATTCTGTGAATCCAGTAAGTCACTCTCCAGTTGTCTCAAATGTTAGGCCATGATTGGTCATCCCTCTTAGATATTGAAGAATATGTTTCACTGCAGTCCAGTGTGTTTGGTCATGTTGGGTGTTATACTGGCTCAGTTTGCTTACTGCATGTGCAATGTCTGGCCTGGTGCAATAGAAAGATAAAGAAGACAACCAATTAGTTTTTGGAATGGAAATTGCTTCATTTCCTGAACTGATGAGTTTTCAGGCCTGTGAAGTTTGGAGCTTGGGACAAGAGGAGTTGCAACTGGTTTTGATTTTTCCGTCGAGAAATGTTCCAAGATTTCCTCAGTGTATCTCTTTTGGCACATTTGGATTATCGTCTTCCCCTCCTTTTCTCGCTGGAAGAATTCAATGCCCAAGCAATAGTGGGTTGTCCCAAGTCTTTCATATCAAATTTGGACATGAGAGTCTTCTTTAGTGTGGTCTGTTTGATTTTGTCACGTGAGACAATTATGAGGTTATCGACATAAATGATGACAAAGGTCAAGTTGTTCTGTTCATTTCAAACATAAATGCAGGGGTCAAAGTTCAATGGTCTTAAACCCAGTTGTTTATCTAGTCATTTATACCATAGGTGGCTTGCTTGTCGTAGACCATAGAGGGCCTTGTTAAGTTGACAGACTTTGTTGCCTTCTTGGATAGATTGCAGCATTTGTTCTGCTTTGGTTCAAGTCTATCCCGACGAGTTTTTTAATTATATCTTCTAGGATTATTTCGATCTGGTCTGGAAGCTGCATGAAAATCTCTGGTCTATGTTTCATTAAGGAACACTGTTTTCACGTCCAATTGGTCAATGAGTAAATATTGTTGGGCAACAATGGCCAGTACAGTTTAAATGGAGTTGATCCTTGCAACTGGTGCAAAGGTTTCATGAAAATTGATTCCAGGGCATTGAGTGTAACCTTTTGCTACTAATCTCGCCTTTCGTCTTTTAAGAGTCTATCTGCATTGTATTTGTTGCAAAGGACGATACGGCAACCTACAATGTCTCTGTCAAGAGGACAGGTGGTGATGTGCCATGTGTCGTTTTCGATGATGGAGATGAACTCGCTTCTGATTGTCTCTCTACATTGTTGAGCAAATGAGCTTGAGAGGGCATCCTCAATGGAGATTTTTGTGTTGAATGCCATTTCCTGGATGACAGCAGCAAATCCACTTTTATCATTCCCTTGTTGGACGTTTTCTCAGTTTAGTTCCTGATTCTGTAAATGTGGAACTTTGGTTTGGTGTTGCAAAATCGAATTGGTCATCATTATGTTAAAACATTTGCAAGATCTACCTTTTAAGCCAGTTTTGATTAGGCATGGGTGACTTGGAACCCTCCTTAATTTGTTATCCCTGGAGATTTTATTTCCATCGTCATCTTGTTGGATAGTGTGACAGATGTTCTCTTCCCCTTGTTCAACGGTTAGGGATGGAGGTTTAGTTAACTCAGTGATTACTTCGTGGCAATGAGCTTCATTTTCTTGTGATGAAAATCTCCTGAGATGAATTCCTCAAAGTCGTCATTCGAGGTCTTCAGCTCAAGGAATTTGACATCTCAAGTCGCAACCACCATTTTCTGAGTTGGCATCCAAATTCGATAGGCTTTGGATTATCCAGAATATCCAATGAATATGCCTTTTTCACAGCAAGGATCAAATTTACCGATAGTTGGGTCCTTATTGAGTACAAACTACCAAAGGTTCGAAAGTGAGAAATTTTGCAATCCCTGCCATTCACAGCTTTGTAGGTGTATTATTGTTTAAAGCTCTAGAAGGACAGCGATTCAGGATAAAATTTGCAGTGTAGATGGCTTCAGTCCAAAAGGAGGCCTTGAGTCCTGACTGAATTAGCATACATCATGCCATCTCGATTAATGTTTGATTCTTTCTTTCAGCCACTCCATTTTATTGTGGAGTATGGGGGACAGTTAAACGTCGCTTTATCCCCATTCTTTCAAATATTCGTCAAATTCTTTGTTGCAATATTCGGTTCCATTGTCAGATTAAAGACATTTGATTTTCATGCTGAACTGTGTCTCTAGAAGGTTCTTTACTTTTTTAAAGATGTTCAGTATATCACTTTTGTTGCAAAGAAAATGTACTTCACACTATCGAGATCGGTCATCTATGAAGACAGCAAAATATCTAGTGCTTGACATAGATTGAATTCGAGTCGGACCGCAGATATCAGTGTGTATGATTTCAAGTGTTTTGGAAGTTCATTAGTTGTTTGCTAAGGGAAATGGATTTTTCACCATTTTTGCTCTGAGGCATGTTTCACATGGGGATAAGCAATCACCAGATGGGATTTGAATCCCAAGGCTAACAATATCCTCCTTAGGCTCTTTTGATTAAGATGACCTAGGCATTCATGCCAATCCATTAGGATGGACTTAGATTGAGCAATGGCAGCAACTGAATTCCATTTATGAATATGGTAGAGTTTGTTCACTCAATCAGCAGTAGCAACAACATTGTTGTTTTGATCCATGATAAATGCAACCTGTTTGCGGAATGAAACTTCATAGCCTTTATTACAAATCTTACTTACAGACATGAGATTTGTTCGAAGGTCAGGAACCAGGAGAGTGTCAGATAAGTTAAGTACTCATACTGCTGATTCATCATCAAGCGCTAGTTGCACTAAGCCAATTACTTCGATCTTTGCAGTGTTTTCTTTGCTGGCTAGGTTCAAGGTTCATCTGTCGGGCTTGATTTCGGTAAAATCATTCCTATTAGCACACATGTGGAAAGATGCGCCACTATCGAGACACCATTTATCCCTTTTGGTTGATCTTGAACCAGTTATCTCGCCATGAAAGCATTCTTCAACGGCTTTACCAGCACGCTCACTACTTTTGGGTTTGTAGCGGCAGTCAGAAGACTTGTGATTTCGACGACCGCAGTATTCACATTTCGATCCACTTAGATTTGTTTTCTCGAATTTGAATGGAGTTTTTCCTTTTGGATTCCTACGACCATCTTTGTTTTTGAAGTATTTCTTCTTTTCAGCATGCATGGCATTGGGTACTGCATTGATCTTTTTGACTTTTCGAGATGAGTGTTCTTCAAGGATTTTCACTTTAAGGCCATCTGGATTTGGCAGATTGTCGTGTGATTCAATGCACAACGAAAGTTTTCATAGGATGACGGAAGGCTATATAATAACATTATAGTGAGAAGATCGTCGTTGATGTTAACATTTAAATCGTGAAGCTTATCGACAGCATCAAAAAATCTGTTGAGGTGGTCTCTGGTATCATCAGGCTCATCCATCTTATGTAGTATGAGCTGTTTGAGAAGTGTGGCCTTGCATGCAGGACCTTCAGATTGGTAAATCAATTCCAACTTTTTCCAAATTTCCAAAGCAGTCTTGCATCCTTTGACTTGTTTTAGTTCACTGGAACTGATTGTGAGAATTAAGTCAGCCTGGGCCTTGGAATCATCTTCGTCCCATGTGGCTGCTTTTTCCTAATCATCAATGGGTCCATTTTTAACTAAAATAGCTTTTGCTTGGATTTTCCACGTGTCGTAGTTATCTTTCTTTAGAGGTTTGATTTTGATCGTAGTTGTCATTATTAAATATTATTGTAAGCAACTGGAAAATCATTATATTGTCACTAGTAATTTCCCACAAAAAATGAGTTCTGTTTAAATCCATTGCCACATTTTTGTTTGCTAGCTTAATCAGAAGTTGACTTCTCGATACATGATTGTAACTATCTTCATGGAATTTTATAAGAAAGGATTCATACCTTTGCTCTCTGTTGGTTCTTTGAGTTTCGTAGTGATCGGATTTGTGGAGTGTGAGAAATAGTCCAAAAAAAAAAATCACTATGTGCTGCAGTTTTGTTAATTACACTTCTTCTTTGGGAATTTTCTTTTATTCCCCTCCAGAAGGCTCCTCCTGGGCCCATAACCTGTTGTAATAAATGCAGGATGTGGCAGCAGAGTAAAGTAAAAAGCAAACTGCTTGGTTTGAACACAGAGTTTAATCTAAGCTGTATATACTACACATACCAAAACGAAGGGAGGCAAGGCAGAAGGTACAAGAATCTAGTTACATAAACAAAGGTCTAGACATCATCTGGAATGTCCTTGGGAGAGTGTCATGATACTCTCACCAACAGTTTTTTTCATAAAATTTGATATTTTTATTTGCTTACATTTTCTCATCTTTAAAAATTTAATGTGGTAATTTTTCATTTAATCTTTAAAATAAAGCACAGTGATAGTCTTTCAGGTTTATTTAGAGCACTAATATCAATGACGGTGATACCAGTTTTTAGGAAAGCTAGAATAGGAAGCTAGGACAAAAAAAAAACTATATTTCCCATTAAAAAAATGGGTGAATGATACAAAACATTGAAAATTTCAATATTCTAAAATCTGTAGGCAAATATGAGACAATACATATGTTTGCTTGAATAAAAAATATTGAATAATGGGATTTGTACTTATAAATTGTGACATTTTGTCCAGGTATGTTCTTCAACAGTGTTAGAGCAAAACTGTGTTGTATGGGGATATCCCCAATTCTCAAACATTGTTGTAGGAATGCCATGTTGTATAAGGAATACCCATACTTTGATGTATAAAAATTCAACCATTAAAACTTCATACAGTAAAATTAAACAGTATGAAAGATAATTACCCAGTTATCAAAGGCTCATGCAATCTTTTGTAATAATAACCAGCATTTGGTAATCTTCCTGTAGGCAGTGCTTCTGTGGCTGCAACAGTCAACTGTTGGCATTGGCATTTATTTCGATCCTAATCAATATTATCATAACTACATAAATATTAAAGAAATCCCCTAAAATTTATAGTAAAGTATTATATAAGCAACTTTACTTGACAGTTATCATCACAATCACATCCACAAAGGAATTCTTCATCCAAATTCAAATTTACACCTTTAGCTGGAAATCTTGTACTAGAATATTCTACATATGGTGGATATTCTCTATTTATACTATTGATGCATGGAACAGGAATTGGTTCCTTCCCCTGAGTAATATCTTTGATTTGACAGTTTATCTGTAAAATAAAATTAGTTTTATAATAATAAATTTCATATACAAGTAAAATTAACAAATACTTACAACTGAAGGAACAAATTCTGCAGATGTATTCACATAACTATCGAAACAAAACAAATCAACCATTAATTTTGATTTTGTTTCCATCAAGTAGCGATGAACTTCAACTATATTTCTTAATCGCCTTCCACAAGGGCCTTGATAAAATACTATTCGTCTATTTCCGGCACGATGTTTTGCAATTTGTCTGTATAAATTTTCATATTTTAATTTATTCTGTAAATAAGTAACAAAATTTAAATTGGCAGAGTTTAGTTACCTTTCCCATCCTGTAAGAATCGGAATCCATAATGGATTTTCACTTTTATGTAATTTTTCTAAATTTTCTTCTTTAAGGCATTCTGGACAACACGTATGGGGAACATAAATAATCTTCTGACGCTGTATCTTACAAGTTTCTCTTTGGCCAGATTGTGAGGTGATGGTCAATGTTGACATAGCTGAAAAATTTTCCAAATAAAATTACATAAAATACTGTATTATATATTGACAGTAAAAAAAGAAATTATACTCACACAAAATAATTTCAATGCGATTTTTGTCATTGCCTTCCTTTTATAATGTCAATATTTGCTTTTATGGTACTAGTCTTAATTGTAAAAATGTTAGTTAAATGGGAATCACTCAACCTATTTCTTTAGATGGAATCCCAGGTAATTTGCCCTTTTTTCCTATACGATAATGCGCCACTGACTGACATCCATACGTAGAGAACGACGATATTTTTTAATAATTTATTTCTCTACGTTTCAAGATCTCGAGTCCAAAAATGTAAAAGGTCTTAGGGGTCATTTTTTGAACTTCACCATACGTTGTGTTATATGTAACAGCCGGAAAAGTAACAATACAGTATTTAAAGTGTAGAAAAGTTAATTTTTTTTTAAGTTTTAGTGATTTAAAAAAATTCTAAGTACTTTTCTACGCTTTATTTATGTATAAATGAAGTTTTTATGGTAATTCCAGTTTTATAACTTGTTCGTATACAACAATGTATTGATTATCGTTTTTATTTTTTCTGTATTTATAATTTTCCTCCGTAAAAATCTGTTAAATTTTTAATGAATCTGACAGTTTCTTCCTTTAGCAGCCGAATTGATCTATAAATTTTAACTTTGTAACTAGCGCGTGTATAGTTTCCTCCTCTAAAAAGTTGTAAATATCGCTTCTAAAATATATGTACCGATATAAATCATTTTTTTTCAAAAGAATAATGCTGTTGTTTATTATCGGCTCAGTTGTTTAAACTAATTTGATATAGTTTAACTTAGAAACTTCCTGTTTTAATAAATGTACATAGTTTTTCAGTATTCAGTCCGTAACTATTTTTAATAATTTCCATTGTAGACTGCATGATTCCTACAAATCCTCAGTATTTAGTTTACAGCGATTCTTAGAAATTCTCAATGGTCAATATACAATGATATACAATCGACCGTGTACAATAGTTCTTATGAAGATTCAACATACTGTGTACTGTACAGTCTGAGCAAAACAATAGTTATGGAATGAACATTTTTCAATTTTCAGTATAGTATATGCTGTAGTGTTAGAAATCTCTATTCCATAGTGCTGTAATTCTTAGAAATCTCCAACCTGCAGTATACAACTATTAGAAATCCTTAATGTTTCCTTGTATAATGGGGATTTCTTAAGGTAGAAAGCAAAATGAGGTTTAGGTCAATGCGAAAATCAAAACTACTAATTTAATTCCTTCATTACATTACTAAATATACAAGTATTTGAATAAAGTTTCGAAGTATTTTATAATTTTAAAAGAAAATTAATTATTAATACGAAGTTCATTTGACAATTTTTATAATGCTTTAATACATTAACATCATAATCGAAACTTTCTCTCCGACAAGTAAAGAGATTTATGGATATTTAAATGGCAGAACAACGATCGGAATAGTTAAATATTTAATTAAGAATATCTATCATGGAAAATTCTTTATTAAATATTTATAAAATGTTCGATTGTTAAAGTTCGTCGAACTTTTCGAAGAAATTGCTAAAAAATGTGGCCCTCTTCCTGACGTTTTTATGAAGGATTCAAAGTGGAAAGTGATGATTCCAGAGAAACAATTTTGGAGTTTTTGATTGATAAAACGAATTGAATGGAAGACAAAAATGGAAAAGGAACTATAAAAGTTTATCGTGTGAAAAAAATGTTCGGATCTAATGATTGAAGCTGGAAAAAATATGACTGGAAGACCATAAAAACAATCTTTCTTAGAAGATAAAGAAGCATCTTAATATTTCATCATCGTCGTTCTGGTTTTATGATTTTCACGAATACATACTGCACACGAATAGGCTATACAGTATATGGATAAAGACTCAAACTCGTACACTTACGTGCAAATATACAGGTAAATAAACAAACACATAACTCAACATCTACACACACAAATTAATACGCGCCCGACCCTCATATGTACGGATACAAACAGAAAGACACGAATTCGTACGAATACATATAAACATATACATGTGTAAATGAAGATATGCAGATAAAGGAAAATACCGTAAAATTGTCATCTGTTAGATACTTTATGTTCGTGTTTTGTCTGTGTGTGTGTGCTTATGATTGCTTTTTATTGTTTCTGCGAGTATGTGTGTGTGTGTTTGTGCTTGTATATTTGTGTTCGTGGCAGTATATTTGTTTGTGTATTTGTTTAGTGAAGGTCATAAAAAATCTAGTTTTATGATTTTAAAATTATCATTACTTAAGTAATTTCCTTACTAATTCAAAAATTAATTATACAAATTAACATTATTTTTATATATTTTAACATATAGCGCTACGATTTGATGTATTTTTAACGAGTTACATACATATATTTTCTATCCATAATTAAGTTGAGAAGTATATGATTATGTTTAATGACGAAATCGCCTTCTAAATGAACCAGAAAATCGTTTTAAATATTACTTTGGACCCCGTAATTTATAATCAAATGACACGAAATGAATGTATATTGGTCTTTAAATCTGTTTGGATATAGATTTTCATCGCCGTGCTTTAGTATTTTTTTTTTAAGTGAAAAATTGTATTTTTTGCGATCTAAACTCGAATTTAACTCCATAGTAGATGAGTCGTAATTCACAGAATTTAATAGTTTACATTCAACAATCTTATTATCTGTGGGAATGAGTGCAGGTGCTTTTATTGATCTGAGAATCTTGCTNTTCCATGAACCACAGCGGTACGACCATGTTCTACCTCCGGTTACCCACAAAGTATTTGGCGACAGACTGTCGCCTCTCTGTCGACATCAACCTCCACGAAAGCTTATCTGTACATGTTGACATACACTGGTGATTGTTCAAACGTATAATAACAGCGAGGTTGAGGCCAAAGTTTTAAACGTGAATATGTGTACATTGGACTTTCAACGCCGCTTTCCTGTAAGCCTAGAAGTTTGACAATAGTGTTTGAAATGTAGAGCATGACTCCTCTGACTATCCAAACGCCATTTCATACTTCTAGGCTTACAGGAAAGCAGCGCTGAACATCCGACATACACATATTCGTGTTTAAAACTTCAGCCTCAACCTCGCTAACATAACCAAATATTTGGTCTTTCACCGACGTATTTTGTATGTGTCGACATTCTCTAATTTCGGTCTTTCACAGTAACATATATATATATATTCATTCTTTGGATATTTGTATAGGATATAGCATAAAACCTAAAAAATCTTTATTCTTTTTTTTATCATCACTTCACAATTTTTAAGAACTAATTCATTAATATATACATTAGAGATAGTCAAGAGCAACCTTTGAAAATGGCAATGATTGTTACATTGTGATGTTAATGGTGTTATGACAATACTATATCTTAGTGTTATTAATTAGGTTAAGGTGTTATTAGTTTGATGTGATTCTTTTGCCTATTCAAACAAATTATTTTTATCATTTTTTGAAAAGGATAGTAATGTGATCTAAACTTCTCTCTCAAGATCGCTGAAGGATCAGATGTATTGCATATGCCTTGCCATTGATGTTAGAGAACCACATGTAGCTCAACCACTGATGGAATTTAACATCAATGATGTCTTATAATTAATATATTTTAATAAATTTTACTGTATTTTATATATTTTCACTCACATTTATACATAACTGTAAGATATTAATTAATTAATAGTAATTATTTCAAGACTATATATACTTTTTTTTGGAGCTTCCTCACCAGTTGTAGCTTTATTGTTAATCTGATTAGTTGCAAGACCATTCTGTACTACAATGCCATTAACCGAAGTCTGTACTTGTCCTGTACTTATCATATTATGTACAGGTGTAGTGGTTGTCAATTCAATCACAGTTTTGACCACTTCCACTTTTTCCAATCCAGGTTCTGCCTTCTCTGATATAACAGTAGGTACTACAGCCACTTCTCGGATTTTCTTAACTTCTGCTTTCTCAATTATTGGAGATAAATCAGTAGCGTTAACAATACTGACATTATCTGGCACTTCATGCTTTTTACTTAAACTGTCTTCTTAAATGTGTAACTTACTGTTTACTTAATGTTTACTTAACTTACTGTTTACTAAATGTTTACTTAAACTGTTCTTAAATGTGTAAGCGTCAATGATGGCCCGTTCAATTAAGTGAGGAAACATTTGCTTATGATCTCCAACAAAAAAGGTGTCTGGCATGTACGAAAGTTTTTCAGAATATTGGTTTGCCAAATTCAATGGAGAAGTCACTTTATCTGTAATAATATAGTGCATGAATGGAGCACAACTTGTACCAGGATATCCCAACCACATAACTTGTATTGGGGCAGGTCTAAGAGCGAAGATTTCATTACAAGCTCCTTTAATATAGCCATTCATGTTTACCAAGATATGAATTCCATCTAAATATATATGATCTGCTGCTTTTCCATTGCAAGGAACCTGAGACAAATCAACAAAATGCTCTGTTTCATTGGCAATTTTTGAACGGAATGTAGTTCCATCATCAGGACTTAATGCATAGCAGAAAATTTTTACTTTATCTCTATTATGCATTCCAGGGACACTTTGCATTAAATGAGAAGTTGGATGATTACCAAAAACTGAACTAACATAGCCTATTCTAAGCCAACCATTACTAGTAGCTAGGTCTTTAGGATGTTAATAAGGTGGTTTATGTAATACCTGAATCTTTTCTAAGCACAAATTTGCATGACGAGCAGCAATAGCTTTGCGAAAATCATGTGACAATGGATATAACATGCTATGGTGAGGATGAACAGATGGTAACCTATTTTTATCCAATTGATCAGCAACAATTGCTACCAATTTCTTCATTCTTAACTCATAATCGGTCCAATCACAAACAATCTGGAGGCAATGGGCTAAATTACAATAGGCATCAGGAAAGTCCGGTTTCAATTTCAGAGCTGTGCGATATGACTGAACAGCTTCAGGAATGTTTCCAGAATCTTTATGAATAGAGGCTAGATTGCTGTGTGCATCAGCAAATGCAGGATTAATTTGTATAGCTCGAGTATAACATTGTAGAGCACCCTGTATATCTCCCATTTCCTTTAATGTATTCCCCATATTAGAATAAGCATCAGCAAATGTTGGTAAATCCTAATCGCTTCTTTATAATGCATAAGAGCATCATTAAGTTTTCCTTGTTGCTGTAGAACACTTGCCAAATTTGAATGTGCAGCTGCAAACTCTGGAAATACATCTAAAGCTCTTAAGTATAAACGAGTAGCTTCTTCTATAAAACCTTGCTCTCTCTTGATATTATCAATAGCTAGACCATTTAAAGAATCTGCATGTGTTGGACAAAGACGCAGTGCAGTATTGTAGCATTCCTCTGCTTTTACCACTAGGCCTTTTTCTTTAAGAGCATTTGCAAGATTACAATAAGCATCAGGAAAATTATGTTGCAATTCAATAGCTCTTCTGTAGGTGTCTATGGCTAAATCAATCAATCCTTGTTCATAATATACACAAGCAAGATTTCCATGAACCACAGCATTATTGGGACTTAAATTTAATGCTCTTAAGTAAGCAGCAACAGCTCTGTGAAATACTCTAGCTTCTTTTAAGACATTTCCTAAGTTTATATAGGCATCCAAAAAATTAGGATCTAAAGCAACAGCCTTTTCAAAATGATGTATGGCTAACCATATTTCTCCCTGAGCATTAAATTAAAAACACATCCAACATTGCTCCAGGCAACAGCAAAGGTAGGACAGGTTTCAATTGCCTTCAAGTAGCGTGCATTTGCTTCATCAAGACGACCTAAAGCTTTCAAGAGATTACCTAAATCACTGCGAACGCAATATAAATCTGGATTATATTGTAGTGCTGATACATAAGCTTGTACAGCTTGTTCCATATCACCTGCAGCAACAAGAGCAGCTGCCAAATTGATATAACCATCAATAAAATCTGCCTTGAGCCGCACAGCATGGTGATAATTCTCCAAAGCCTCCTGTAATTGTCCTCGTTCCTTATAGACATTTCCCAAGTTTGAATAGGCTTCTGCCAACAATGGATTCTGTTTGATTGCTAATGTACTGAAATGTGCAGATTTATCTAATCGACGACATTGAAAATGTATAGAACTTAATAATAAAAGCACTCCAGTATTTGTTGGATCCTGTCTCCATAATTGCGTGCAATGACGCTCAGCACTCTCATAGTCACCTGCCTGATATTCTCTGTGTGCCAATTCCCCCAAACTCTGAAATGCTGCAGCAACTGCAGTGTTGGGCATATCATTTGGTCTACTTCTTTTATTGCCATTTACATTAGACGTCTCTGTTATGATTGCAGCCATTTCTTCTTAGGAAAATCGAAACTGTCAAGTCTTTTCTAAGGAACAAAAATTCGCTACAAGTAAAATCTTAGAGAATGTCTTTAGTCCCGTTCGCCGAACGACGTCATCATTTTTGCGCACGAATTTATTGGGTGTCAAGGGCCTTATTTCAAGACTAAAATAAAATGAATCTGTATGTTAATTAATAAACTTTTTTTATAAACTACAATTTTGAAAAATACAAGATAGCTAATACTCAAATTTACTTTCATTGTTTTATTAAAAATGTAATTTATAAAGATGTTATTTATTTTTACAGAATTAAATATTTTGCTATTTATTTTATATAATTATTTAAAAGTATCACAAAATTTTAAACTTACTTCAGGATATTGTTGAAGATAACTTTTAATGAATTCTTTGGAATCAGGATGTATATCTTCCCACACTTCTTTCCCTGATGAGAAATTTATTCTGATTATTTATATATTTATATTTAATATTATAAATTTCAGAACATATTACAAATACACTTACTTGATTCACAGACTAAATATACTTCATTATGTTTCACATACTGTGCATAGCCATCATCAAAGAAAACAAGATACCTACATGAAAAAGTGTTATAAATTCTGAACTTTTTCTATTAATTTTGACAGAACAATTTCCAAAAACATTTGGGAAATTTTTATTATACATAGTAATTAGTAGCAGTATACAAGAACAATATTATGACTCTGGAAAATTGTAAATAATTTGTTATATAACTATATAGAAAATATTTACATACATATAGAAGGTACAGTACCTGTATCTATTCATTAGTTTAGGTGGTTCTGCAATAACACCTGCATACAAAGATGATCTAGGACTCCAATGTTCATCTCTATAATGTGCTAGAAATACATAAAAGCAAAATAATTATTATATTAGTTACAAATATTTTTAAAAATAAATTTAAAACTGGCTTATAAAGACAACTTCAACTATCACAAAAAGTTTATTCATTAAAAGATTTTGGATTGAATTGATTTTTATGAAAATGTTATAAATATTTATTGATAAATAATTTCTGATAAAAACATTTCAATTATAAAGTTTGTATCTTACCAACAACTCTTGAGCCAACTGAAAGAATTACATCAGGAGGTTGAAAATATGCTAGATGTTTTGGTAAATAAGCACGATTAGAATTTGCTTTTCCCATGTCAAACTTAATCTTGCAATACTTTTTCCCTAAAATATTTGTTTTGATATTAACAATTCTTGCTCTTTGCCAAACACCCAAATAACTTGCTCTCATAGCATATACTCTCATGCCAACTGATAGTTCTCTGAAGAAAAGAAAAATATCTCAAAATGTTTTAAACTAAAATTTTAAATGTCCTGAATAATTAATACATACTTTCTTATTACCGGTCCTATTCCCGGAAGCACAGGTTTTTGGATTTCATACTGTCCTACAATATCTACATCTTTAACAAAATTCTTTGCAGAGTTATTGAGTGTATTCTAAATTAAAAAGAATGATTAAAATTAACAGATATACTTTATAATAAAGCAAGTTAATATATAAAACGAACTTTAATAATTATTTATTGAGAACAACAGTAAAAATTATTTGAATCATATATATATATCGCTGAATAATCAATTAATTTACTAATAATAAAATTAATTCATTATATATCTGTGAAAATGGAGTTTCAGACCTATTTGATGACAGCAAATGTAAAATCAAGGTCATATTCCAGTTTCCTGCTCACTACCAGGATGGTAAAATGTTAAGATTTGTCAAAATCCTCTTGTCAGTCCTGACACCAGTTAGGATAAACTAGTCACATCCTAACTCGCAAATTAAATTAAAGTATTTTCCAAGTGGTTTGAAATAACTTCAAAGAATTTATTTAGGAGAGTTTATTTAATAGAATATGTGAGGTTGACAATGGCATTAGGCAATAAGTTAATCATAAATGATAGTTTAGAATATAATGAAAATATTTATTTAAACATCTAACTATAAAATATATACATAACAAATTCTAAAATATAAATGAAACCAATCAAATAAATCACTATACAATATAAATGGAGAGGATCTAATATCTAGCCTCTAAACATTACTTTATTTGAGAGTTTACAATAATTTGTAATTGTTACCTGTTCACATACATCTGAGGTGGTAAAGTTGAGAACACTTAAATAATATCTAGAGATTGAGAACTGGGAGATATGTTGATTGAAAACTTGGGCACTAGGCAAGTGTGCCAAATGAAAGTGAGAACTAAAACACAGCTAAAACATAACTAGAGCACTGACTCGATGGACCACAAATAGTATTACTTGAACATCATGCCATGCTTCTAACATGAGGAAGAAGTCAGACAGTTTTTGCTGATAGTTGAGTGAGACATCATACTCAACTATTGTTTTAGGAGGAACTAACTAATCATTTCTCTCCATGACTCAAAGGAAGTGCTTCCTTTCACAAAGAAAGATAAATTTCCTATCAAGTTGATTTGAAGTAATATTTAAAAATATTAATTTAATAATTTCTTTAAAATATCTTCCCTCAACTTCAGGTTATCACATATTTAATAAATAAATGAGAAAGAATTTTAAAAGTCTATTTACTGATGAGAAATAATTAAAAAATGTTTTAAATATTAATTTCTGTTATTATTTAAAAAGATTAATTATTTCACTTGTAATATCAAAACAACAGCTCCTTTAAATGTTTATTAATTTTGGTGAAACATGTATATATAGAATGTATACAAAATGAAATTTGAATTCTTAAAATTTTATTAATTTGAACAAAGAATGATGAAAAGTAATATAAAACTTTATAGATAATCAGATCATCATTGTAGATATACTATTTTTAAATATCTTATTATTAGCATCAGTGACAGTGCTCCTCTATATAATTTTACATCATCATATACTATAATGTCTAATTATAGTTATAGAGTTATTTATTAATATAAATTACAATGTATAATTGTAATGATAAAATTGCTTTATTTTTCCAATTTTGAGGCTTGAAACCCAGAGTCCTAGACATGTACCTTATGGGCAACCAAGCACTTATTACCATAAAGATTGGCAATATAAACATTTGGTATAAGAGAAAATTTGATAATTTTTTATCTACATAAGGGTAATCCAACTTTTTTCAGTTTCAGTGCAAAACAGACGAAAGATGTTTATTATGTGTATATGGAAAATGTGACATTTTGAATTCTTAAATAACAGAGTATAACTAGATGACATTTTAATAAGAGCAGGAACATTTTAACATTAACTAGCTACTTGGAAAATTTGGCAAATGCAAGAAAGTTTGGTGCCCTCTGGAACTGGTTAACATGGTACTGGAGTTATATAAGAAATGCATAATGTTTGAAACCAATGAGAAATGCTTTATTAAGCATAAAAAATTTTAAGCATAATATTAACAGAAGATATTCACAATAATTAAATTAACTCAATTACTTAATATTATTTTTACTTTAATTGAACAAGCTTTTTCTTTTAGAAGACCAATTTTTAATACCATGCAAGGACTGAATTTTGTTTCCTAGTTTGACTCTGGTTCCCTGATTCCAAAATATCAGGGAAAAAACAGGAAAGAAAATGGTGTTTGTGTGTGTTCGCCTATATTTTGCTTTATATTTTAGGATCCAATGGCCAAAAATTTTGAAATTTGGCAGGAATACTTTTATATATGCCGTATTAATGCTGTTACATTTTGGAAATTATAAGTTGAGGAAGAGAGAGAAATAGAGAGGAGTGTAGGGGGTATATGTCAAATGGGGCTAGATTTAATGAAAATTTTATTTTGTACTAGGTTTTAGCTTATTAAAAACAAATATATTATTGGCACATACAGTTTTTTTTAAATTCACCCCTATCCCAAAAATTCCTGGTTTTGTCATTCTTCTAATGCAGGAAAGTCATGTAAGAGACCCTACCAGCTTTTCTGCAAAGGATTTCTATAAGTTAGTTTTAAATAATTTTAATATTAAGAGTCAATTAGCTATATACCTATACTTGGGAAATTGGGTGAAAAGTTTCTTTAAAAACAGGGCTAAAAAGTAATGGGTTTTCATGAAAAAGTACTAAAAAAGTAATGGGTCTTCATGAAAAAGTCATAAAAAATGCTCCTAAAAACGTATAAAATGTTTTATATATATATATATAAATGGATGTATTTCACTTTTCAGCCAAAACTACACATCGCACATGAATGGTGTTTGTATGTGGTAGTAGCCCAAAGTCTCCATTCATGNGCAACAAAAATTGGCCAGGGCCAATTTTTGTTGCCAGTTCAGCCCAGATTGAGAGCACTGAGCAGTATGTTGGTTTATTAAAGATTCAAAGTCAATTTTCATTTATGTATTAAAAATTAGTCAGTGTTGATTCCAATAAATAATCTACTTCTCCTAACAATGGAAATATTCATATATATGTTCAATGTTTGATAATACTTATACCACCCCTGGCAAAAATTATGAAGTCACTTTTTTATTAGAATGTTTTTACAGTGTTGTAATTAAGCATGTAATAAAAATAAAACAAGCAAATGATACAAAATACTTTTTAATAATAAAAAAATATTTTGGTTAAAGTACGACGTAAACAATCAAAATAACAACATATAAATTAAACACAAATTTTTAAATTTTGCATATAGGAAAATATTTTGGAATCACATCAAACTGAGAAAAAAAGAATTATAAAATCAGTCAACTTTACTTTTTTACTTTAGCAATACTTTTCTGTTTACATTTGGTCCATTGCATCCAATTTATCAAAAGATAGATATGCATCTTCAATTACAAGTATTATTTTTGATTTAATTGTTTCAACATCTGCATGCACAATAAATGAGGTCTGGAGATGCCTGCACACAACTTCCTGTTGTTCCTCTGTTGTTCCTGGAGAGGATCTAATATCTAGCCTCTAAACATTACTTTATTTGAGAGTCATATATATATATCGCTGAATAATCAATTAATTTACTAATAATAAAATTAATTCATTATATATCTGTGAAAATGGAGTTTCAGACCTATTTGATGACAGCAAATGTAAAATCAAGGTCATATTCCAGTTTCCTGCTCACTACCAGGATGGTAAAATGTTAAGATTTGTCAAAATCCTCTTGTCAGTCCTGACACCAGTTAGGATAAACTAGTCACATCCTAACTCGCAAATTAAATTAAAGTATTTTCCAAGTGGTTTGAAATAACTTCAAAGAATTTATTTAGGAGAGTTTATTTAATAGAATATGTGAGGTTGACAATGGCATTAGGCAATAAGTTAATCATAAATGATAGTTTAGAATATAATGAAAATATTTATTTAAACATCTAACTATAAAATATATACATAACAAATTCTAAAATATAAATGAAACCAATCAAATAAATCACTATACAATATAAATGGAGAGGATCTAATATCTAGCCTCTAAACATTACTTTATTTGAGAGTTTACAATAATTTGTAATTGTTACCTGTTCACATACATCTGAGGTGGTAAAGTTGAGAACACTTAAATAATATCTAGAGATTGAGAACTGGGAGATATGTTGATTGAAAACTTGGGCACTAGGCAAGTGTGCCAAATGAAAGTGAGAACTAAAACACAGCTAAAACATATCTGACCAGTATCTAATAAATATTTTCCAGTGGCATGTCATGACATTTGATAATAGGAAAGCTTGTTTCTGTAAGAAGCTGACTTCCATGGGCAATCAGTTAATTGTGCGTGATGGTCTGGAGTCCATTCGTATTCGTTTGTTCGATAAGCCAGTAAAAACCGTAGACTTCTGAATGTATTTTTCATATCACAATTACATTCTGAATTGCTATTCATGATTCAAAATGTAATTGTGTAGATTTATAACTTAACTCAACCAATAGGAATTTACTGGTATATTTTTATGATAGTTTTGTATAGTTGACAGGAGTTAAAAAAAATTCATTAAAATATTTGATATTTTTATTCTGCTCTCCCATCTTATATTACTTACGGATCTAAGGGCTACAGTTAAAAATAAAATAATAAAAACTTACTTGGTAAAATGTGTGGTAAATGTACTGTACATACCTGGTACAAAATATTCTTCAATTGTATGAATATACTTTTAAAGAAATTATAATTAAATATAGCTTTGTTAAAGAAACGTACATAAAAATAACATAAAATCTTCTTTACTTTTCAAATCTTAAAACAATCCACTTAGTCAAATAGCTCCCTACGAGTGGAATCAGAGAAGGTTCTGCTAGGTGCATGCATGCAGGCTGCCAAATCCCGAGGGTGCCGATGCAGGTCAATGTCAAATGCCTCTTTTGTTGCATCACTACTATACCTCAAAGGACGCGACAGGGTTGTTGTACATTTTAAATGTTTTTCATCATAGCTGTAAAAATCTAAATATGTTAAACTTAATAGATTGTCTGTCATTTGTTTTCTAACTAATTCGTTTTAGAGCCAGGGTCCACAAAAATTTCCAAAATTTACAACTTTTCGGTCACTCTCATTGAACTGGAAAAATTTCTGTCTTTATTACATCTAATATTACAAAGAAATCAGTCCCCACAGTACTCAGCTAGAGATTGGTTCGGTTAAGCTTATGTATAAGTAAAATTTTGGCTCTTTCATCAGGGTTTTATTTATGTCCCCATTCCCTAGTCGCTTAATTATTTAACTACTTGTTAAGTAGAAATAAGTTGAAACCTGTTACTTTGTACATGAATATTTGTAGTCTTGGGAAAAAAGTGGAAAGACAAATTTTTACGGCAACTGATACATAAATCGTAAATTTAAGGAAAATAAATTCTAGAGCTTTGTACCTCTTCTGTACCTCGTGCATCTCTCTCATTCATTAAATTTAGTTGCAAATGATGCTACCAAAGAAACAGTTAATATTTTAACATTGTACAAGAATTGTACACGTTTTTTTCTACATCCCCTTATAGATGGGATATACTAAATCATAATATCACTGGTTTAACATTGAAATCCATAAGTAATATAAGGTGGGAGAGCAGAATAAAAATATCAAATATTTTAATGGACTTTTTAAACTCCTGTCAACTATACAGAACTATCATAAAAACATGCCAGTAAATTCTTATCAATTGGGTTAAGTTATAAATCTACTCGTGTTTCACATAATTGGGCGAGGGCGGCCAAATATCTAGCAGGCAGGCAGATAACAGCCCAGAACCAGTCCTGGATAGAATTGGAAGCATTATATGTGTGTAGCTTCCACCAGCTAAACCAGGTGAGCTTGGTGCTCTGTAAAGTGCATGCGCGAATGAGTATAATCTGGCTGTCTGAAAGCTGACAATATAGAGCTTCCATTCCGCTACTAATATTTGAATATACAATAGAAATCTTATTGTTTTTTTCACATGAACTATAGAAATTTGTAATAAGATACATAATGTGGTTATAATAAAATATTAATTTTAATTATAAGAAAATAATTGCACAATATGTATTTATTTTTTAGAAAATACAAGGGAAGTGGCACATCCACAGCTTCCAATGACGGCACGCCACTGGTATTTTCAGTTATTTTCTGTCTTCTACATTGCATGTCTCATCATAAGAAATGCTATAATATGACCATTGTGCATCATCTACATTGATCAAAGAAATATGGGGCCAAAGCTTCAGTGATTAAGTATCTCATTTTTTGATGTGACAATGAGAATTCTTTTGGAAGATTGTCTGCACACTTGGCATTGATTGTCTCCTTTATATGACATGATGCAAATGAATAATTGCTTGCTGTCATTTTCATAGTCCATATAAGCTCTGCAATGTAAGCACCATCTTTTGCACTACAAAGTTGAAGCACTGGTTGTTGCAATGATTGGTGTTCTAAACTGGCACCTGAGTCTACAACATTGCTCACACTAGCAACACTTTCAGCACTAATACTTTGAAATTGAGACATCTGAGGGGGCAGTCATCCATCTTAACTGCTTGGGACCAAAGGCTTCATTGCATTTATTTATATGTTCGTAGCAGCTTGAATGTTGGAGGATTGCAGTATGGGGGTATGCTGGTTGCTATTTTTCTCCTGAATGCATTTACAAAAATAAATAAAGAAATTCCACATGGAAAGTGAGAAAAAGCTAAAAAAGCAAATTTGCCTCAGAAAAAGCTAAAAAAAAAAAAGGAGCTATGAAAAAAAGCTAAAAACGTGAGTCACTTTAAGCCCTGAAATAATATAGTCTCTCTTTCTCTCTGTCATGATACAAGCACTAATAATTAACTACTAAAAGTGTAAAAAATTAAGATAATGTACTGTACTATATGTTAACAAATGGTTTATTTATGAGCATATATATATACAGCAGGTGATTGGTTAATGAACATAATCTGTTCCAAGACTTTGTTTGCTATCTGAATTGTTCGTTAACCGATTATCGATTTACCATAGGTTTTTATGGAAATTTGATTAATTCGTTCTGGAGACCCCCAAAAAAAAAAAAATATACACTTTCTTACTAAGTTTATTTATATGTAATAAAAAAAATACATACATACACAGTCTTGCATTTTTATTAGTCATGTTTTTTTCCATTTGTGAGGGTTAAAAAATCTGTCTTATGTCGATTGCTTTTCTCTCTTCTTTAGGATTTTTCAGAAGTAATTAATAGCATTCGAATTGTAGAGATCCTTAATCCAATTAACCTCAACCTGATTTAGATGCCATTCTAAGACCATTGTTCTGACATCCTTCCACTTCTTCAAAAGATGTTTAATAGCAGATATTGGCATTAATCCTCTTTTTCAGAAGAAAACATCTCGCCAAGTTTCTTGGTGTTATTCATTCAAGAGTTTTTTGCATTCTTCTGTCGTCAGATCCATTTCAGGTTCTATCATGTGCTCTTCAATGTTCTTTATTTCTCAGATGTGATTTTTGTTACTCCTTTAGTTGCTTCAGTCTTCTTGATTATACTGTATCTTTCTTAGATAAGACTGAACTGTGGCCTATTGTAAACCTGTTCAAGCCATACTGCCCAGCAACATCAGACATCTACCCACTCTCTACCTTTGCTATTATACTCTCACCTTTCGAAAATAAAAACCAACACAAAACTTAACGAGTGCCTGCCCTATAGTCTTGCAAATATAGGTATACCTCGAGTTATGTCATTCTCGATTATACATCATTTGTCAAAACATATATGGAAAAATAAAAATCAAGTTTAAGTCATTTTATTCGACTTTATGTCCGTCCGCCACAAATATTGAAGTCATAATATCACTATAAAAGCATTAATGCACATAAAATCATATTAAAATATGTACATTTACAGTAAATGTTAATATAATCATCATAAATCCTAGAGAACGAAACATGAAAACATCTGTGTTTCCATGTTGTCGTCTTATTTAGTGGTCTTTAAGTGCTCAATATTAGTGTTTTCCACGGTAGCTCCAATATCTACCATTTGGCGTCATTATCAGAGTCACTCAATATTGGTAAATTTAATATAAATTAGTTTATTTTCTACTGTTGCAAGATAATTTTAATAACTGTATTTGTTATATAACGTTACAAAATCATCTTATTTTATAATGTCTTAGAGCAAATCACATTCACAAATAAAGAGTCCACGAGGTACTGTAAACATCGCCAAATTGTAAACATGTACATTTACAAGTACGTACTGTACGTACATGAATTCGTAAATTTAGATTACTTTTTTCTGTACTATATTAAAAACTAAAATTTATTTGTTTGTAAGCTTAAAATAGATTCTTATTAACCATATATTATTAAAAATTCATTTATAAATAAAATACAAAACTGGAAATGGTTATTTGTGGTTTAGCCTAGTGACAAGTTAATTCGGAGACAAGTAAATTCGACTTACGTCGTTTTTCGACTTAAGTTGCCTCTCCTGGAACCAATTATCGACATAAGGTGAGGTATACCTGTACTATAAAAGAATTGTTTCTGTCAGAAAAATAAAAGGATGGAAGTATAAGGGAGAGTTTCAAAGTTCAGAGGAATACTATCCAATCAGTATCTACCAGGTTGAGGGATCATATCAATGTCTCCTGTGCTCTGAAACATTCTGAATTATTGCGTGAAAACAAGGGAAGACTAATCGGTATTCATTATTTTATGTCGCTTCTTCTTGTGTTTGTTCTGTGAGGTGTTTGCTGTCTAAACATAAAAATCTTTCTCGAAAGTGTTCATTATCCAATTTGTTCATTAACTGATCACTCACTGTATATATAAATGCTTATAAGAATTATATGCTAACTCAAATAAATAAAAAGATTTTTAAAAAGTGAAAGATGAAAAGAAGTGTGAGAGTTACAGGTTATCTGTAACTATCACACATATCTGATATATTTTTTAATATTGCATTATATGGATAACTTTCAGTTAAATTTTTTAATAAAATAATTTTTCTCAAATGTTAATAAATTTTTATAATATAACTGATGTTAACTTTCATAAATCTTCATTTAAATGCTTGCTCTGGGAATGAAAAACTAGAGTATATTGCAATTTCATTTTGTTTACAAATTAAAACATATACATCTGTGATAATGAATCTAAATATGAAATCCATACAGGTTGAAAATATTCAAAAATAATGAAATTTCTAGTTTCTGTTAACACAATATACATTTTATTTGAATTATTAAACAACATATTACTAAAAGACTGTTATAAGTGAAAAGGTAACTTGAATTTTATTTTTCAAATAATAAAAATAACAAATTGCTTTTATATATATGCATATATAAGAAAATTTTTCTATGAATCATTATCCAAATATTAATAATTATGATTAAAAGTATCAATATAAATTTTTGCTGCTAACGCTATTCTATTTTCATATATATTTAACTTACAGAATGTTTTGGGCTTTTGATTTGTTGATTTGGGGCTAACTGAGCAAGGTTTGAATCAGCTCTCATTAGCTGAAGAGTAAATCTTGCCCTTGCTTGTTGTAGTGCATCTGATGTATTTCCTAAAAATTGATAAGATTAATATACAGTATTAATATTTAATAACAACAGGTGCATGTCTATATTTAATTTCAATATTAAAAACTATGATATTTTACTCTTATAATTATGATATAAAAACTATATACAGTAGACCCTCAATTATCCGGACTAATTGGAGATGAAGATAGTCCGGATAAGGAAAAATCCGGATAATCGAAACAAATATTTTAATTTGTCTTTTAATGATAATACAACACGTTTTCTTTTCAATGACATATCGGTAATATTAAAAATAAATACTGTATTTAAATTGTGATCAAATTTTCAAGACACAAATGTTTTATTGAATTTGGACTACTACTGACCAGCGCTAACAGACTAGCTATTGTTTAAAAGGCCCTCTGGCGGCTCAAGAAGACCGATTTTATAAAATAAAAAGCAGTTGAAACTGCTTTTTATTTTATAAAATCGGTCTTCTTGAGCCGCCAGAGTTTCTTGAGCAGTTGAAACTGCTTTTTATGAATAAAAATTTGACAAACTATTTATCATTTTATGACGAGTAAAATTTTTTCGTCGCATTCTCGGCTTTTAAGTAATGCATAAACCTTCGAGGCGCGAGGCCCTTCGGACCGCGAGGCATAGGTGGTGGCCCATGTTGCCCATGCCTTATGCCGCCCTTGGTTATAGAAATGATGTAATTTGAGTATAAATTATTTATAAATACACGTATGTCAAGTTATATTTTTATTACGATGCAAAATATATTTAAGAGTTTACGACCACTGTGCCGGGTGAGACGTTGTTGAAACAAAAAATATTATGCATTCCATTACATACATAAACAGTGTCATAATTCGCCAAGTGCAAATCAGCAAATTCGTAAAATTTTTGTTTATTTTGAACGATCCGGATAATCGAAAATCCGGATAATCGAGGTTCTACTGTAGTTCCAAACATATGGCAGACTAGTGATGCCCAAACTATGGCCCTTGAACTAAATCCAGTATACAAATATATCAGATAACCAAATAAATAATATGGTTTTTGAAATGTGAATAAAAATGCTTGTATTTTTTGTTTAGAATAATTTTATTCATCAAAATATTCACCTTCATAGTCAACTACATTTTTCCAATGGAAGGGCAGTTTGAAAATACAATTCTTAGCATTAAAACTTGAGTTACTTTTATAGCTGCATGATTTGTAAATTGTTTGCCATGCATATTATTTATTGTCCAAAGATTAAAAAAAAGTGGTAATTTGGAGATAAGTCAGTAGAATAGGAAAGATGAAGCAAAGTTCCATCCCAATTGCATTATTTTATTTCTTGTAATTTCTGCAGTGTGTGGGTTGCATTATCTTGTAAAAACAAAAGCAACTCAACAATTTGCCATAAATGACTGTTTTTGCCTTAATTTCTACTCTTTGTGGTGCTCACTGCACAAATTGCTGTGAAGGCTTAACCAATGTTCAAATACTTGTAATTGACAATACTCCTCAAAGTCCATCAAACACAAAGAAAGACTTTTTTCTCTGGGGTCATTCAAATCATTTATAAAAATGGTATTTTCAATTTCCCTCCTGTTGAGAAAGTGTAATTGAATATGAAGATGAATATTTAATGAATAAGATTATTTTATTCATCAAAATAAAAAAATGACATTATTTATTTGGTTACCTGATATTTGACACATTCCTTATAAATGATAGACCTACCTTTTGTATATATGGAATATACAAAATATTTGTAGCCAGTCTATTTAAAGACTTATGTACAATTATGCCTGACAATTGAAAAGTTTGTGTAGTACTGATATAGGCTATTATTTTCAATACAAAGGAGTCAATACTTATGATGAAGACAAATGTTTATCATCCAAATGAAGACTATAAGATTTACCTTCACTAGTCATCTCAATATCTTGCTTTTTAACATGTGAAAAAACTTTTAGTAGTAACAAGCAGAGCAATTGGACTGTAGTTGCAGAATTACTTTTGTCTTTGTTTTAGTAAATCTTATTATAAATTATTGTATTCCAAGAATCAGGAATTATCTCAGCTAAAAAATATTGCATTATGGTAAATTTTTTTAAAAAATTCAGGAAGTATACCTTATACCAGGTGTAGTTATAAAATATAATAAAAGTGTTACAAATTTTTATTTATATAAGTATAATAGTGATTATTTTATATTTAATTTTTTAATAATTTTCATATTTGTAATAAATAAAAATTTATGAAAAATTTAAATTAAATAAAAACAGATAAGAATGATTTTATATGATTTCATGAAAAATACATTAAAAAATATAATCATATAGGTATTTTTTAAATTTTAAATATTGATTTATTTCTTCTCATAGATCATATAAGTTAAAAATTCAACATAAAAAGAATAAAATAAACATATTCCAAAATATAGAGTAATACCCAAACTTATGTGATAGGTGGGACCGAGCGATGACCTTGTAAGTCAAATTCACGTAAGTCGGGGGTATAATTTTGCAATTTGTGTAAAATCCAAGTTGGATGTATATAAGCTAATAAATGTTCTCGTTAATCTTATCTCGTCTTTTGATTCGTTCACGGTTACAAGAAATCACCACATAGGGTCTCTCAAGTGTTTGTAGATATAACAAACACAGAAATAAATAACACAAAATAAATTGTAGCTATGTGTCAATTCCGCGTGACACGTCTGAACATGTAAACTGAACAATAGTGTGGGGAAGTGAGTAATCAAGAGTTGCGTGTCGCTCAAACAAAAGACGAATCAACGAGATTTGAAAATCACGTAACTCCGGGTTCGCGTAAGTCGGGGTAGCGTAAGTCGAGGTATTACTGTATATGATATATAGTTATTTAAATCAAATTCTGTATATTAAAATTTAATATAGAATAATCTAAATTTGATTCTTAAAATTACATCTTCAATTTCCTAAATTTCTCAATATCCTCAATTTCTAAATTATATTTAGAAAAATAATATAAAATTCTTACGTGAATTTTGAGATGAATATTGAATTTCTTCAAGTTTTCTTGTTGAAGTATCATCCTTCAACACTGAAATTCTGAAAAGATTTTTTAAAACAAAACATTATCAAAACTGAAATATATTTATAATTTTTAAACTTATTTTAGTCTACATTGGGAGAAAATACTTCAAGTCTATTGGATGAGTGAGCAAAGCAAACCATGTAACCATGGAAGCGGAACAGTGGGACATTTTTAGTCAAACATCACAATTGTTTTAATTCAAAAATAAAGAAGTTTTTTTTTATTCTGGTATCTAAAGATTGATTTCCATCAAAACAAACATTTTGATGGAGAAAATCTGAAAGGAAATAGGAGAAGGAAGTAAAAAAAAATTTCATGTAATTTGAATAAAAACTGTTATTCCAATTTCAGTATGGAAGTTATTTTGAAATAGATTTGAACTTAATTTATACTACTCCTCAATCAGAATTAGACAGATGAAGGTATACATATTAATGAAATTTTTATAAATAATCTACATTGGAAACAAGTGGGCCAAGCCCCCTAGTAAATAACAATAATTTTATATTAATACACTTAGAAAAACTCACAAAATAAAAATTAAAAAGCAAGAATTATAATAATCAAAATTTTGCAAATAACAAAAAAAAAAACATAAAACAAAAACAGCTTTAAGAAGCTACTTATTAATAAACCAAAGAATATAAAATTAATTTCATTATTCAAAAAGGCTGTAATCTTGTAAAAGCTTATAAGTGGGTGCTGTAAATAAGAATATCATCCCTTCTTTATCCTGAAATACAGTAATACCCCAAACTTACGTGATAGGTGGGACTGAGAGATAACCGCATAAGTTGAATTCGCGTAAGTCGGGGTATAATTTTGCAATTTGTGTAAAATCCAAGTCAGATGTATGTAAGCTAATAAATGTTCTTGTTAACCTTATCTCATCTTTTGATTCGTTCACGGTTACAAGAAATCACCATGAGTCTCTCAAGTCTCTGTAGATATAACAAACACAGAAATAAATAACACAAAATAAATTGTAGCTATTGTGTCAATTCTGCGCGACATGTCCGAACATGTGTGGGAGGAGTGAGTAATCAAGAGTTGCGTGGCGCTCAAACAAAAGACGAATCTACGAGATTTGAAAATCGTGTAACTCCGGGTTCGCGTAAGTCGAGGTATTACTGTACTCTAATGTATCTAGTTTTTTAATAATATTTCAGCCTTTAGGGCATTAATCAGGTGAGTCATTACATATCATATGGTTATATTAAACACTTTAGAGCAGTGTTTCTCAACGGGGNGAAAATCGTGTAACTCCGGGTTCGCGTAAGTCGAGGTATTACTGTACTCTAATGTATCTAGTTTTTTAATAATATTTCAGCCTTTAGGGCATTAATCAGGTGAGTCATTACATATCATATGGTTATATTAAACACTTTAGAGCAGTGTTTCTCAACGGGGCGATATCACCCCCATGTGGGCATTTTTCCATGTTCAGGGGGCGATTAGTAACAATTTATACTTTGGGGGGCAAAAACCAATTTTCTGGGCGATATAGTAAAACACTATATTAAGATTAATTAGATATTTTATTCGTTATATTGTACAATAATTAAACAAATAACATTATACTAGTCACTAATCTAAACAATGCAGTACAAATTTGGTGTTAACCTTGGCCCTGGGCATCAGAATTTTGAAGTGAAGGAGGCGATAGTACGTAACTGTTTTATTGAAGGGGCGATACTACGTTGAAGGGGGCGATGATTCGTTAGAGGTTGAGAAACACTGCTTTAGAGGAACACAGATGAATAAAAAAAATTACATTTGAGCTTGGATACTCTACAAAACTAATATAAAAGATGACATGAATGTACTGGTACTTCATACTACACAAGGTCTACAACAGTTTCTCTCAATGGGGCGATATCGCCCCCATGTGGGCGTTTTTCCATGTTCGGGGGGCGATTAGTAACAATTTATTTTTGGGGGGCGAAAAACAATTTTCTGGGCGATATAGTAAAACATTATATTAAGAATAATTAGATATTTTATTCGTTATATCGTACAATAATTAAACAAATAACATTATACTAATCACTAGTCTATTCAATGCAGTACGAATTTGGCGTTAGCCTTGGCCCTCGGCATCAGAATTTTGTAGTGAAGGGGGCAATACTACGTAACAGTTTTATTGAAGGGGGCGATGATTCGTTAGAGTTTGAGAAACACTGGTCTACAACCTCCATATGGCCAAGAGGCCATGATAGCATGCCTCTAGCTATTCTAGATAGATACCAATAATAGATTATGATCTAAGGCTCAGGAGTCTTCACAGTTAAATTGCTGATTATATAGATGCCACCATCAGCTATTGCAGAAACCCACAATGTATAAAATGTTAAATATAATGGAAAAAATGATTTAGATAGACTGAGGGTACCAGATGGTATATACTATATTCGGATATTGCACAAAAAATTTAGACATAGTTTAGTATACATCAGTTCTACTAACATATCACTACCCAATAGAATGAAAGAATATTGTTATACTATTAAAAAAACAAACTGATCACTTAGAAGTGTATGCCATGGCACTTGGGATCAGTGCTAATCTTGAAGAAGCAAATTGATACAACTTGCCTTCCACACTGACCATATCAGGGCTTTGTAAATTCTAGATATATTTAATGTGATAAAACAAGGAGTCTATATGAATTTCAAAGATGTGAAATCATCTTCAGTATGGCAATCTTTTTACAGTAACTCACAATACGAAGCAAAGTGACAGCAACAGCAGTCAAATTAAATTTTATTCTTGGCATTTATAAGTCTTAACATAGTGGATGTTTTGTACACTATCTTGTTGTGTTTATGTTTTATACTTTATTGAAAAACATATTTTGTGTTAATTATGTATTATTGTTTGTAATTTCCTTAAAATTTTTAAAAATCTGTATAATCCCTTTTTAAATGTTTTTAGTCAGTAGAATTCATTTTGGAACATCTTTGCATTCCAAATATCAAGCATACAAATTTTATGTTAAGCTATAGACCTCATGTTGGCTTATAAATTAGGCTGAAAACATTTATAAGTACATTAAACTCTCAGTAGAAAAAAAAAAGGTTTTATTCATTTGTTGGTTAAGCTTTTCTGGTTTTATTGTATCTTTTTTTTTTATATACTTGCATCATTTTATGATAGAAAACTATAATCAATACAGAAATCCAGCAATGAGTTTCTTAACATTCTTGGCAATATTTAAAACTGTGTGTGTGGCACCATCTGTTATAATATTTTATTTAAAAACTTTTTATATTTTTAACTATTATGTAGTCCACTGACCAATGAATACAGTCTATTTGGAGAAAAAGCCTACACAGCTAATATCTCCATATAAACTGTGAGGAAGAAGAAGAAGAACTATTATGTAGTGCTACGCTACTATGGATTGTATAAATTTTGTATTTTTCTGTATTTTTATTTGGTTATAAAAGTGTGTTTCCTTTACTTTGTGTCAAGTTTTAAAATTTGTACGGAACTTGCATTATTTTTCCTTTTTGTGCCCTGGTGTCACCTTTTCTGTGGTACATTGATTGAACCCTGCTGATTGGTCAGGAAGTATATCATGTGCTTTGTTCAAATGTGCTTCTGGATGGCAGGAGTTATAAATTCAGGTGTTTTCATCTGCAGATCACCTTTTTCTTCCTGTCTCCCTTCTGGACTGTTAAGGAGAGAATTGAACTTCAAACCATCGACATGGATGTTCATCTAAACTGTCAACCCCCAACCACTTCCCAAAGCCTCACATTGACCCCCCCCACCATAAAGTTTTATTACAAGTGTATGTGTATGAGCAAAAAAAAAAAAAATTGTGACCCCTTAGCCGCATTGACCCCTCAATCGACCCCCCAATGATGTTGCATCGACCACTTTGGCGACCCCTGATCTAGACCATCATTAACAAAGGAATGTTTCTGCTGGACTTAAGCAATTCATATTTATCTTTGTGAAATTGTTGGGTAACAACGAAGAAAATGCACATTGTGTGCGAGAATTCCCCGAGGACATTAGTGAGACTTTTATTTTTAATTAATAGTAATTAGTAGGTACGTGTTTTATTGCACCTGTAATCAGCAGGCTTCAGTGACTTCAATTAGAATGATCGTTCATGTAAAGTCATGAGAAGGAAGGCAAGAGTGTGTGTACAGTAGACCCCTGTATAACACGGGTTCCTATAATTATGATTCCTATAAGACGGTGAAAAAATTGTGATGGTATCCGTACAAACCTGGTAAAAAAACTCCTATAATTCGGTAAAACGTCATCGGGCAGCCGAACTACTTTCTGCCGTCCAGCACAACGCTACAGAGAATTTAAGCGGGTAAATTGAGTTTACTATCGTCTGTACAGTATTATATATAAATTAGGTACTGTACATATAATTACATATTAATTATATATAAATTAGATACTGTACATATAATTACATATATATACTTTCTGCCATCCAGTGCCACGCTACGGAGAGTTTAGGCGAGTAAGTTGTTTACTATCGTCTGTACAGTATGTAAATTAGGTACCGTAAGTCTAATACAGTGCTGTACTTTTATACATTTCTTGAGAAAGAAACATTTCTTATTCAACGGCCATAAAAATTATTTATATTAATAATGTCTCCAAAGTTCAATGAAGTTTTCGCAGAAAAATAACTTATCAGAAATCGCGGCCACGGTTTGGTGCGTTTCTCCACGACGAAAACAAGCTTGAGCAATGGCGATGTCGAACGGTGCACACTCGGTAAGTAATCCTACAATTTTTTGTTTATAGCATAGTTTATACAGATTATTCCCAAAAAAAATATACGTATTTTGGAAATGTTGAGTCAAATTAGTCTAGAATCGATTAATTTTATGGAAGAAAACCTTTAAAACAGCTGTAGTCTGTAAACTTCACACGTGTCGAGCTGTGATTGGCAAGGACTTGTAAGATATCGATTCATAAAGAACAAAACATATCTACCGTGTTATAGGGGGGTTGACTGTATATGCAACTGTGAAGAATATTTGCAATTAATTAGAACACAAGATCATGTTGTCGCACAGAAGTATTTGTTTGTTGTTCTCCCTTTGCTTTTTGTGACCATACTACTCAGTCCCTACAACATATGTATCAAAGCTGACTACATCCTACTGTTGCTAAATTAAAGAATTTTGTTTTGTTTTATTTGTCTGGTCAATTGTTAAGTCCTTGTCTTATTACCCTATCAACATACTCAGTATACCCTGATATATCAGAGTTACTACAATTATAAAATGGCAAAAAGCTTAATTTTGAGGGTAGAGATGAGTTTTATAAGAAAATTGTAAATGCTGATAATGAGTAAAATCATCATTAATCCTACTCAAGAGGCCACACACCAACACCCTTTATCTCCCCACCCTGTCAACCTTTAACCACCAAAATTTAATAGCATCAATCCTCCTAATGCACACACACCATTCTGTAAAATTTCAAAAATTTTCACAAAAAGCACAGGAGTTATTAAGATTCAAAAATGGTAAATAAAATCATACCAAACACACCCACATAGGCTACAAGAAAAAAACCCAATTTTTTTGCATTTCTCAGCATTTCAAGGTCTTGAGTCCAAAACTGTAAAAATCTTTGGGTGGTCATTTTTTGACTGATCACCATACTTTCCCTCTGTTATGTATAACAGTCAGGAAAGTAAAAATATTTTATTAATATATTTTAACAGACACTATATCTTTTTTTATGTTAAATTATATTAATTAAAATATCACTATCATAATAATATATTTCATTATTTTTTAAAAATAAAATTTTTTTTTACTTACAATATAGTACTCTTTAAAATTTTCATGTTTTCTTCTGCTTTGTTATAAATACCATCAACCTCTTTACACTTCTCTGTTATAAATAATAACTATTTTAATTTCATTGAAAATTTAGCTAAAAAGAATTTAAGAATTCAAACAGTTTTTAATTTTTATCTTTATTTGTGAAATTTGAATATAAAACATAATCCAACTAGAAAGCCAAAAATAAATTTAAATCTATTAAAATTTTTACAAATATAACTGTACTAATTAAGTAATTCAGAAATAAAATATTCAATGACCATTTTAAAAACAAACTATGCTAAGAATTCTAAATAGAGTTTTTTCAATCTTTCATCACAACTGATATATTCTGAATGTTCAAAACCAGAATAGAATTGTTTATTTCTTTGGTTTATTGGAAGATCTTGGAGTTATTCTAAATAAAGCATAAAGATAAAATGTTACTTTATTATATTCTAGCATGAATACTGAATTTTATTATGGAGGAAAAAACATTACTAAAGTGGGGTTCGTAAAAATCAAATTTTATTTTTCCTTATTTACCTAAATTAAAATTATATTGTTTCTGATATTCTCTTCATTATTCATATAAAGTATTGATTTTTGAATGCTTTTTAAACGCTTTTTTTAAGAAGCATTTAAAAAGCATTCATGTGGATATATAAGATTTAATTTTGTCATGTACAGTTTATGTAATAAAGTCTCAAATACTCAAGATAATGTAGATCAAAATTATCTTGGATAACACAAATTGTTTGATAAATTCTTAAACTGAATTATGTATTAACACACAATATATGATACTCTTCTTTTTAGGATATAATTTTTATTAAACATATAATAAAACACTTTTAATTTTATTTACAGCTATACTTATTAAAGCAAATACAAACCTATGATTACAATTAAAATTGGTATTCTTATGAGAAATCAACACAGTAAATTCTTTTTAAAATTTTTGTACCCATTTCAAGTAGTATGCATCATCTGGCCAACATTTATGAAATGAACTAACTGTATTACATTTTCATCTTGTTTACAAAATGCAGGGTGTCCCACTCAGGAGTACAACTTTAAAAATGCAAATTACTCGCAAACGCGTGAATGTAAAAGCAAGCTGTAAGAACTGAACATACCTGTATTTAGGGAAAACAAGTTCACATTACAAAAGGTGCTGAAAATGTCCTCCCCCAACGTCCATACACAAGGAAACGCAACACTCCATATTTGAGAATGTCCTCTGCAACATGTCACTGTTGATGGCAGCAATTTCACACTTGATGTTTGCTTTCAGTTGTTCGATGGTCCTGGGTTTGCTTGCATACACCTTGCCCTTTAAATATCCCCATAGAAAAAAATCTGGGGGAGTTAAATCGAGCAATCAAGGTGACCACAAACCTTTTGAGATCACCCTGTCTCCAAAAAACGACCGGATCTCTTCCATACTGGCATGAGAGGTATGGGACCATTCTGTTGGAAGTAACCTTCTTGAAGTTCATAGTCATCCAGTTGTTTCACAAATTTGTCAAATATGGACAAGTATTGGTTGGTGTTCACAGTCTCGTCAAAGAAAATTGGACCAATGATCCGAGGACGAGAAATTGCGCACCACACTTTGATCTTCTGATCAATTCTTCATTAAATAAGGAATATTTTAAACCTTGTTGCATGATGATACATGCACATGTTCGTGAGTAATTCGCATTTTTAAACTTGTACTCCCGCGTGGGACACCCTGTACTTTATTAACATATTTTTTTTACAATTTCTCTCTTGATTAAGTTGATCTCAATCAGGACTCTATTTAGATATGAGCCATTCACAAGCCAAATAAATTAACTCCACAGTTTGAATTTTCTTTAAATTTTAGTGTCAAAACGCTTGATATGCTCATAACTTTTTATATTCATAATAAGTTTCCCTAATAATAAGGATCAATACCACTTAATGACAAAATTTTATTGACCATCAAAAAAATGTTTATTTATTTCAAAAGCCAATCTAATTAACTTCATACTGTAATGTAAATCCACCAGCACACACTGCAGCATTGTAATTGCAGTGTGTGCTGACCAGTGCCTTGTAGATAACGGAAAATTATTTAATGTTATCTCATCTCAAAAAGTACACAAGGTAAAAGAAATTAATTAATTACAGTCCAAGTGCTGCAGAAGTAAGTATACTTGTAAAATATTGAACAACTGTTTTAATTTTGGTGGCAATTGTTTTTAGAAAAAAAGAAAAGTTATACCATTATATCAAGATGGATGAAACTAAAAATAATTTTTTTCATTCCTCCTGTTAAGTTCAGTTGTAACATGTGTCAGACGTGTGGATGTCAGCAAGTGGTGATGGACAGTCCACAGCTTGGTCACAGGTCAGGTGGGTGTCAGGTGGGTGAGGTAACAGTATCCCCAAGAATGTGGGGGAGATTGTCCCACCTAGAGAGGGAAAATTTGTGGGCTTCCCTTTGTGGTGTATATCGAGAGAGTGGTGTGTGGAGGCAGTACTGAGAGGAGTGCTGACTGCAGTACTGATCGGGAAGCTAACCAAAGTGGGTAGCTTTGTGGCTGGTCAGGAACCAGTATTGTAGTTATCAAATGATTGTCGGGTATCGGAGTGTTGCTTGATTGTGGAGTGCCAGAGAGTCATTCATTTATTAGAGACATTAAAGCGTAATTGTGTTGTTATTGTTAGACGGAAAGTGTACTGTGTTTTTTTGACTGTGTAAACGGGAACATTCCACAAACCAGCCTTCCATCCATGAATTCAAGTATAGCTATTCCTGAGATGACGAAAGAGACAATTTGTAAGTCAATTTGTGCCTCACATTGTGAAGGAGGGTCAAGAAAAAATGTAAACAACCAAGTTCTATTACGTACTACTCAAATTAAGGTTTTAAATTCTAACAACGAATGGGTAGATTGTCGATGTTTATTAGACTCAGGAAGTCAGAGATCATTTATTTCTAAAGAGTGTGTAACAAAATTAGGATTAAATGTAAGGAACAGTACAATTTCAGTTTCATGTCTAGGCGCATTCACCACTATGAGCAATGGAGAGATTGAATTGATATTCACTTCACATTTTAAAAGTGAACTGCATGCTTCTACTTCTGCATTTGTAATAGAAAGAGTCACAGAAAAGCATCCATATGTTTCATTACCTTCAGAGATTTGCACTGAATTTAGTGATCTTATTTTGGCTGATCCTTTCTTTTATATTTCAAGGAACATAGATATCCTGTTTGGCGTAAATGTATTTCTGTCGTTAATCAATGGAAATTTAATTAAATGTAGTATGAGCTGTCCATTTGCACTGAGTTCTAAATTGGGTTGGATTATCTCAGGCAAGGTGACCTTTGAATCCCATGAGCCCAACAGAGTTGTGGTGAATCATTCGTGTGTAAATACGGATGAGTTAGTGAGATCATTTTGGAAACTTAAAAATATTCCCTCATCTCAATTATTAAGTACTGAGGAAAAGTTGTGTGAAATTCAGTTCAAGAAAAATGTTTGGAGAGATGATCACGGACGATATTATGTTGCATTACCCTTTAAACCCGATAGAAAGGCATTAGGAGATTCTCGTGTTGCTGCCCTTAGAAGACTTTACAGTTTAGAAAGGAGATTCGCTACGATGCCAGATATCTATAATCAGTACCGACAATTTATGCAGGAATATTTGTCGTTAGGACACATGGAGTTAATCTCACCTAATTGTAAAGACTTAGAAAATCAACATTATTATATCCCTCATCATTATATAATAAAGGAATCAAGTTTAACGACCAAGTTGAGAGTAGTGTTTGATGGCAGCACAAAATCTTCATCAGGTATTTCCCTTAATGATACCTTAATGATTGATTGGTCCAAAAACCCAGGAAGATTTGATTAGTATTCTTTTAAGATTTCATTGTCACAATATTGCAATAACAGCTGATATCAAGCAGATGTATCGACAGGTGAAGGTTAGATCTGAGGATTGACTTTCAATGAATAGTTTGGAGAGCGAGTTCAGAAATGCCAATACAAACGTTTCGTCTTAACACAGTCACCTATGGAACAACATCAGCTTCATACTTGGCTACAAGAGCTTTGAAGCAGTTAGCGATTAATGAGAGTGTAGAGTTTCCGAGAGCCTCAAAAATAGTATTGCGAGATTTCTATGTGGATGACATGTTGACTGGTGTAAACAACTCTGAGATGGGTAATGAACTGATTAATGAATTAATTCAATTATTAGGGAGAGGTGGATTTGAGCTCCACAAATGGTTCACAAATGAACCATCTATATTAAAGGATGTACATAGCAGTTCGTTAGATGACATGTCTCATACAACTAGTGGAATTAAAGTGATAAAGATTTTATGTCTAGAGTGTCATCCCAGAGAATATATTTTCAGATGTGACTTACGGTGGAATGGCCCAGAATGGCTGATGTCCAATGACATCCCATTCACCAAGAATATACCTATTTGTGATGCAGCAGTAAGGAAGGAGCATAAACATGCTATTTGTAGTGTTAGCACAAGCATAGAAGAGCTACCTGCTAAACATTATTTGACTAAATGTATTTTAACCTATTTTCATAGGAAATATCTACATCTTACCAGACTGGCTTTATTGTATCAGGTAAGACAGATGTTTTGGCCTTTAAATGGAAGATCACTCTGCAGAAAGGTTGTTCATGAATGTATTACTTGCTTTAAGGCTAAAATAGTTGTTTCTCAGCAACTTTTAGATAATCTACCTTATGAGAGAGTAAACCAAAATTATGTGTTCAACTGTACAGGAATTGACTTTTGTGGACATTTTCTCATAAAATATAAGAATCAAAGAAGAGGTACATATAATAAAATTTATGTGTGTATATTCATTTGCTTTGTGACTCGAGCCATACATCTTGAAATAGTATCTGATCTCACATCTGATTCATTTATTGCAACATTAAAGAGATTTTTCTCGAGACGTGGTAAAAGTGCCAAATTATTTACGGACAATGCAAAAACATTTATTGGAGCCCAGACAGAATTGAAACAATTGTACAATATGGTAAATAAGCCAGATGAAAAATTGGCTAATTATTTGTCATCAGAAAACATTCAGTGGAACTTCAACCCCCCCTAGAGCCCCAAATTTCGGTGGATTGTGGGAGGCAGGAGTTAAATCGTTCAAGTATCACTTAAAAAGAGTTGTAGGTGGTACAATCTTGACATTAGAAGAGTTTCTCACCATCACCAATCAAATTGAGGGAATTTAAACAGTCGCCCCATTGCCCCATTATCAGTGGAGCCAGATGATCTTGAGGTATTAACACCTGCTCATTTCTTTATAGGTAGACCAATTGACACGCTACCAGACATTGATCTCAAATCTCTATCAGACTTTCATATTGGCAACGTGTAACAAAAATGACACAAATCATTTGGAAATGGTGGACTAATACATATTTAAATAATTTACAACAACGGAATAAGTGAATGATGGAAAGAGATAATATTAAAATAGGGACATTAGTCATTATCAAGGAAGATAATGTACCTATCTTTAAGTGGTTAGTGGGAAGAATTACAGAAGTTTTCCTAGGGTCTGATGGTAAAGTAAGAGTTGTAAGTGTAAAAACAAAAAAATGGTGTATTTAAATGCAGTGTATCGAAAATTTGTGTTCTACCTTTGGAGAACTGAAGTTGTGTTTTGTAAAAAAAATTTTTGTTGTATGTATGTAACTTGTTGAACCTTGGAAGGTTCAAGGCAGGAGGATGTTAAGTTCAGTTGTAACATGTGTCAGGTGTGTGGATGTCAGCAAGTGGTGATGGACAGTCCACAGCTTGGTCACACGTGTCAGGTGGGTGAGGTAACAGTATCCCCAAGAATGTGGGGGAAATTGTCCCGCCTAGAGAGGGAAAATTTGTGGGCTTCCCTTTGTGGTGTGTATCGAGAGAGTGGTGTGTGGAGGCAGTACTGAGAAGAGTGCTGACCGCAGTACTGATCGGGAAGCTAACCAAAGTGGGTAGCTTTGTGGCTGGTCAGGAACCAGTATTGTAGTTAATCAAATGATTGTCAGGTACTGGAGTGTTGCTCAATTGTGGAGTGCCAGAGAATCACTCACTTATTAGAGACATTAAAGTGTAATTGTGTTGTTATTGTTAAACAGGAAGTGTACTGTGTTTTTTTGACCGTGTAAACGAGAACATTTCATACCATCATCATCACAACATCAATTTTGTATACAACATTTTCTGGTCCGTTGATATACAACACCTCCTATTAAACATGATTCTTATAAAAATTTATGTAATGGGACTCAAATAAGCTGATGATGAAGACATAATTTATGTTGCTGAATAATCAATTTAAACAAAATAATAACCACCATTGTAACAGTAACAGAACAATTATTATTCATTTTTACAAAAAAATAAATAATAATTGTTCTGCTACTGTAATAAAAAATGTACAATAATGAATTTTGTCTATAATAAAAAACTATAATCACACCAAAATCATAATAATAATAATATAGCTTATCTATGCTATCTTATCCATTTTATATGTTGCTAAATAAAAGCTACATCTACAATAATACATTCTACAATGTTTATTTGAATTTATATTTTAAAAAATAATGTATATTATTTTGTCACTTTTCTCCACTTTTTATTTTATGGAGTTAATCATTTTGGCACACATCATAATAGAATATAATTATTTAAACAATTCAATATCAGTAACCAAGATATAAAATGCAAATGCACCATAATAGTTCTTTGATTTGTTAAAAAAATCCTTTTAAATCTCAATTGCCAGTTTACAATTCATAGAATAGTAATGATATCAAGTTTGAAGCCAATGTAAAGCAGCATTTATACTTTAAAGTAATTTGTAGTTTAAAAGCCACTTAACTCTCTTCAATGTTTGATATTATAAACCTTGAGGAAAATAATAAATATTAAACAATGATCAAGACACTGTATAAGAAATTTAAATCTAATAGTGCTAGTATAAAGAAATGATAAAAAAAAATTAATTTTTTGTCATTTTGCTTTCTACACATATACTTTCAAATAAAGTATAAAAGGAATGGTCATCAGCAAATTTGATATATTCATTTTTTGCACAATTTTGCATGAGAATTGGATAAATCTTCATTTCTGATTTTCTTTTTTTGGCATTTCAATGAATCTTAATAAAATTAAAAAAATAATTATTTTAAAATTATTGTTAATGCCAAATTAAAAAATTTATACACTGAGATTGTAAACACAGATAATTTATAGAATTTGACAGTTACTGCACTGTAAATATTTGAATTTGTTTATATGTGAATCAATTAAAATTACCTTATTTATTTGAAAGTGTGTATATTTTTTTAACATATAAAGTTATTTTAGTAACTCTAAAAAAATTACCATGTAGAATGTTCATCTGTTCAGTTATTTCCATAAAACTATGCTGTAATTTTTCTTGAAACCTTGATTTTGTAAGAATAGAGCGAATAGTTGTCTTGATATCACCATTAACTCTGTATTTTCTATTTGATGGAAAAGTTTTTGATGTCTTATGTTTCTTCAAAAACTGTATACTTTCCAAATCAAAGGCTTTCCTTTTTAAAGGACAGCCATTTACATAAAGATTTTTCTTCATTTCCAGATGAAATGGTGAAATGTCTGTGAAGTCATCAAATGTTACCTTTGTTTCATATTCTATATAAATTAAAAAAAATATATATATATAAAATGAATATTCAATAAGTAAATATTGCAATATTGATAGATACATATAAAATTTAACCATATTATAAATTAAAGTAAATTACCATTTTGAAAAATAGTTCTGATGTTTTTTAAATTAAAAATTAAAGAAATTAATAATTATTAATAGTAATAAAAAGAATAATAATTTCTAGTTTTCTAGATTAAATGAATTTTATAGTGATGTGTGTAAATAGTTGTAAATAACCCTCCATCTTTCAGGCTAAGAATCCACCTTTGAAAACAATTGTCACCTGGAACTAGAAAATCTCTGCCTTTTTGAGATAACATAGCACTTTTAATGCATTGTCTTCACAAATAGAGGTCTACAATCAATGCTAAAAATCCCAAATTTCCCAAACTGCTTGTATAGTGATTCTTTGAAATTGTCCATTCTCCAACATTACTATTTTCTTTGAATTCAGCATTGCCATACACATATGAGGATTTTAACAAAAGCTTCAAATTTCTGATTAAGTTATGAAAAATTAATTTCTTTTAAAAAACTGGCATATGCAAAGTTTTGTCGTAAAATGTGGTAGATATATAAGATCTTCCATTCTTTGTTACCAAAAAGACATTTTGAAAGTTCTTGTAAATCTAAGTCATATACCAAAATCACATTCTCTAGGCTACAAGCTATAAGAAATTATTAATTTTTGTAATATTTTCCCTATAGATAATTAACTTTATTATATAGGGTACAATGTACTGTACTCTTAATCTGTATTCTACTTTTTTACTACTAGTAATCTGTCTAGTAGGTAAAGCCAATGTTATAAACTTATTTTCTACTGCAATGTAGATTGAGAGGCCTGTTTCGAACAAACATGTAAAGCCCAACCTCCTTACAGAATGCATTTCCTTACTGCCTAGAGTAAGAAATATGTGCCTTAAAAAAGTTATATGCTGAGTCAGACACAACAGGTATTCTCTGTTAAATTTTATTATATATTTAGAAAACAAATTACAGTAGAACCTCGATTATCCGGACCTCTATTATTCGGATTGTTCAAAATAAACAAAAATTTTACGAATTTGCTGATTTGCACTTGGCGAATTACAATACTGTTTATGTACGTGATGGAATGCATAATTTTTTTTTTATTTCAACAACGTCTCACCCGGCAGTGGTCGTAAACTCTTAAATATATTTTGCTTCGTAATAAAAATATAACTTACGTATTTATAAATAATTTATATTCAAATTACATCATTTCTATGACCAAGGGCGGCGTAAGGCATTCGCAACGTGGGCCACCGCCTATGCCTCGCGGTCCGAAGGGCCTCGCGCCTCGAAGGTTTATGCATTACTTAAAAGCCGAGAACGCGACGAAAAAATTTTACTCGTCATAAAACGATAAATAGTTTGTCAAATTTTTATTCATAAAAAGCAGTTTCAACTGCTTTTTATTTTATAAAATCCGTCTTCTTGAGCCGCCAGAGGGCCTTTTAAACAATAGCTAGTCTGTTAGCGCTGGTCAATAGTAGACGAAATTCAATACGAACGTTTGTTTCTTGAAAATCTGATCACGATTTAAATACAGTATTTATTTTTAATATTACCGATATGTCATCGAAAAGAAAACGTGTTGTATTAGCATTAAAAGACAAAGTATTTGTTTCGATTATCCGGACTACCTTCACCCCCCATTAGTCCGGATAATCGAGGTTCTACTGTATAAACTTATTATTATGAAAGGAAAATGGGAATTGAATAAATGCTTAGAAACACTGCAAGTTTTGTCTACATTCTTTCTGCAAATTGGTGATTTTTATTTCTCAGTCTTTGTATCCCAAAATCAGCCTTTGTTAGCTTTCAAGTCAGTTTCATCTATAATCTAAGGTTGACAAGTATATAACATTATAAAAATTTATTTGGAAATTTTTACTTCTATAGTAATTTCTTTATAAGTTAAAATAGGATAAGTTACATGACAGATAAACCATTTTTCAAAAAAAAAAGAAAGAAAAAAAAGGAAAAAATTAAATAATATAAAATATTCAAACAAGATAAAAAGTAATGTTTTAAACATAACACAAAATAATAATGAAATAACTATTTTCTGACAGTGATAATAGGATCAGAATGAGACAAATGTGTCAGAAAGAAATGCAATAAAAAATAAGATAAAACTGATTATTTAGTAAATTATACTATAAAGAGATTAATAAAATTTAAAATTTATTCTTAAATCCATATAGTTATAAGTATTTATGAAATATAACAGATTTTAATGTGAAATTAAAAATGGAAAGAGCTTTTAATTATTATGCAAATTAAGATATTACTTATGAAAGGCTATTTCTGATGCAAACTATGTTTTAAGTTCTTACTTCAAATTAAAATTGAAATTTTTAATTTGAAATGACAACTTAAGATTTTCAATAACAGAAATGCATTTTTTAATTAAAAAGTTACTAAAATATTTTTTAAAATTTGCATTAGTTTCAATAAATCAAAAATAACAATAGTTACTGAATTTATTTTTATTATTCACAATAATTTCAATTTCTTAAGATTATAAATGTGTAAAAAATTAAATAAAGTGATATCATATGATACTCTTCATAATTTATATTATACAAACATTAATTAATATTACTTGTAAAAGCCATCTGCAATTCTGTGTCAGATCAAATTTGTAAGGAAAAAAAGTGATAATCTAAATAGATATTATTAACAATTCTGTGCGATTTTTATCATCATGCCATTATAAAAATAAATAGCTTAGAATGATAAATCAATCAACAGATAAATGTGTTCATTTTATTTTTTACTATAAAACTAAGATCCACATTCAAATATAGTCATACATTGGAATTTATTAAATTTTTAAAATTGTTTTTATAGTAAAAATTGCAACTAAAAATTCAATTATCAAGATATGTTTGTGCACTGTTTATTCATTATATTCTTAAAAGACAATATCATTTTTAGTTAACAAGCTAACAAATACTCAGCAAATAATGTAATGTCTGTAAATTTTACTTCAGAAACAATAATAAATACATCTGGTGTATAAAATTTTTATAATAATTCAGAATTTATGCTTTAATAATTTATAATTATCAATATTACATCTAATAAACACTAATAATAATCATAAAATCAAGTATACAAAACATCGGGTTTAGCGATGTTTATATATACAAAACAAAAATTATTTTGAATAAATTAACAATCTTTATTTCATTATAAATGCAAATAAAATTAATATTTTTCTGCATTATAACCTTGTAATAGCTTTTTACAATAAATTATTAAATCTACAAATGTAACACATGGTATCATTTATACCTTTTTAACTTTCTTAATTTGTTTACCTTTAATACATGAATTTATACTCTTAGATATTGGCCTTGAAATGCAAAATGTATGTTATTAGTTCCTCTCATGCTCATGAAATTGGTTTCAGTAATGTTCTTTTTATTTTAGTGTAATTTTATAACATCTTTCTTTTATCAAAAAAACTAAAACTGAATTTACAATTTTTAACTATAATTGTTTTACATGTAATAATTCCTACTGTGATCTCCATGTCTTGCAACATTTACAGTATGTGATGCACTGTGATCATGCATATAGTATACAAGAACTTTTATAAAAATATCTGATTTAAATTTTTTGATTCTTGTATTCTTAAAGCAAGCATATTATAAAATTATATCTGTATCAATGCAAGCAAATTTATTACTATTCTTATTACTCTCTACTACTACTAAATAAGAATGCAGTTAAAGAAACTGCCAATTACAGATCACTATATCAAAGTATCACATAATCTCCTCTAATAATGAATCTGATAACAGTAAAATCATCTAGCAGAGTTGTGACAAATGTGGCCCATAGCACACAATCTGGTCTCTGAACATATTTGACACATCATTTATAAATGATAAAAATACATCAACTTTAAATATATATAAAATATTTGTAGCCCAACTTATGTGCAATTTGTTCCACCAATCTAAAAGTTTGAGCAACACTGATGTAGCGTTTGGATTCCTGCCAAATCAAAATAAAAAGTATGGAATCATTTGCAATTAAGTTACTTAAACAAAAATTGATTTTTTTTCTATCACCAGATCTTCATCATTTAAGTATTGTACATGATTTATTTCTTTCAGTCATTTTTGATATAACTGAAATTAAATTAATCAAATTATTGAAGGTAGCTAGCTATATTTATATATACAGTGCTATCCCGACTTACGCGATTTTCAAATCTCGTCGATTCGTCTTTTGTTTGAGCGCCACGCAACCCTTGATTACTCACTCCCCCACACTATTGTTCAGCTTACATGTTCGGATGTGTCGCTCGGAATCCACACATAGCTACAATTTATTTTGTGTTATTTATTTCTGTGTTTGTTATATATACGGAGACTTGAGAGACTCTACTATGTCATCCAAACGAAGTAGATCTAATTCTTCTGCATCAAACAAGAAAAGAAAAACTTTATCTTTGGAATGTAAAGTTAACATTGGGTATGTTCGTAAAGTAAAACGAGTTAAACGAGAATGACGTCATCGTTATTCCTATTTCGTTAGTCTTTTCGAACGATTCGTTACTAACGCGTTTAACTCGTTTGACTTTACGAACGTACCCATTATTAAAGACTTCGATACAAAAATGAAAATTTGTGAATTGGCAAAGAAGTTTGATCTACCGGAATTGTCGGTCGGAACAATTATAAAAGGCAAAGAAAAAATTCTCGAAGCTGTGAAAAATGCTCAATCTTTAAATTCGAGCATCATTCGTAAACGTCACAGTATTATCGCTGAGATGGAAACAATGTTAAAATTATAAAATTAATAATCAAGTAAATGTGAAAAATTGTAAAATAATATAGGCCTAATTTGTTATACATATGTATTATCTAAGATTTTATTAAACATTTTTTTCTAAATTATTGTTTTCTTTAGTCTCCGGCCCCAATTAAAAATT